GAATTGTTGCACCTCTATCATTCGATCCGCCATCTCAGCCAACTGTGACACTGTGAGATCCTGAGAGCCGGACGCCAGGATCGTTTGAACATCTGTGGGCAGGCGCTCCAGAAACATCTCCTTGACAAATTTATCATCAACTAGCATGTCTCCAAGGAGACAACGCATCCGACGTAAAAGCTCTGAGGGCTTCCGGTCACCCAGTGACTCCTCCTTAATTAACTGGTGATACCTCTGTCGGTCAGACACAGAATTAAGTCGGAGGATTTCTGCCTTTAACGCGGAGTAGGGAGCATCTGCAGGAGGATTAGCTAGCAAAGACTGAACTTGAGAGATGACACTAGCGGGGAGGACCTCCACGAGTTTGTGGTATTTGGCTAGCTCCTTGGTAACGTTGGCAGAATAAAAGGCTGATTCTATGCGGATGAAGTAAAGTTCTGGAGCGTGTTGCCAGAATTCAGGCAAGGTAAAATTGATTGCATGAAGGGACTGGGCGGGGGCATCAAGTTTTTGATCGGAGTGAGACATAATAAGACAGAGATGTCAAAATATCAGAATTCGTGAGGAAAGTAAATGTAAATGGAATAGATATTCACAAGCAAACAGTACGTTAAATGTTATCCAGTATGACAGAAAGCTATAAAGTCTGCGTAAACGTCGGGAGTCACCAATGTCGTAAATGGTAATGTTCTCACGAACTAACGAGTTATATCTCACGAGCCCCTAGCCTTAAATGCAGCAAGTAAATCGGAGCAGTGAATAATATTTTGAACGCTAAGAAAACTGACAACAGAATACCACAGCAGAGCACGCTAGCAAGGCGGGTTGTCCTGGTGTGTCGTTTCTCGTCACATTCAAACAAGCAATGCGGTCAAAGGAAATGGGACTAAATTGTCAAAGGTAAATTAGTCAGGTACCTCACCACAGGCTGACGTTTCGAAGAGCTGGGGCGGCTCTCAATTATCAAAGCGTCTACTGAAAAATCGATCAGAATTTTGAATGGACAGCCGAATTAGTTGGCCGTGGGCTGATCGATTTTTTTTTCTTCTTTCGCTGCCTTGGCCTACTGGCCGTCGCATGTGAGTGTTGGTGGCCTCCTGTATTGTGTGTCGTCACCTCAATTGGGGTTAGATGCGTTTGCGTTCCCCTTTTGGTTGAATTGGTCGACAGGCCGTGTTTGCTCGGTAGTCTTAGGCTCCGTATGACCGTCTTGTCTTCGTCACGGCGTATGTAGTGACGTAGGACTTTATAGGCCGAAGGAAGATCTAGATGCTTGTTGACGGAGTTGGCATCTGAGTACCAAGCCTCAAGTGTGAGACGTTCTGTCCTTGAGGTGCCTCTGCCTAAGACGGCCGCTCCTTGAAAATTAAAACTGTTACCAGTGTCCCCGATGTGAGCTGCGAGCTGTGAGTTTGGGTCTAGTCTCCGAGTTGCCAGTTTGTGCTCATGCAGGCGAGTCTGCAATTTCCGTCCGGTTTTCCCAACGTATTTGATAGACAGCTGCTGAAGTTTCAATGAGTGGCAGTATGTCTTTGGGTTGCATCAAACGTCGAGGAATTGTTGCCTGGGGTCGACGGGCAATGCCTACACTGGCGGGTTGTAACAGTCGTGAAACAGTCTCGGAGGCTCCTTTAATGTAAGGAATAGCCCTCCAGCCTTCGGGTTGTTCTTCTTGTGGTCGTCGCTTGTTTGCTCGGCGCTTGTTTTGCTTGATGAAGTAGCTGGTGTATCCATTTGTTTGGAGGAGTTCATTAAGGTATTGTCGTTCAACTCTTTTGTCGGCTGGTGCGCTGCATTGCGTTTCAACTCTTCGGAATAGAGTATGGACACAGCTGCGTTTGTGAGAGAAGGGTGATTTCTGTTAAAGAGAAGTATTTGTCTTGTGTTGGTGGCTTTTCTGAAGACGGTTGTTTGTAATTGCCCAGTTGCACACCGACGCACAAGGATATCGAGGAGTGGAAGTTATTTGTTTGTTTCGGCTTCCATCGTAAATTGGATATTCGGGTCAATCGAGTTCAATAATCCTTTAAGGTGCTCCACGTCAGATGGTTTGACAATGGCGAAGGTATCATCAACGTAACGATCCCAGAACTTTGGTTGATACTTAGTGAACACCAAGCGTTCAATCCGTTGAAGAACCACTTCAGAACGTCTCACACTTGAGGCTTGGTACTCAGATGCCAACTCCGTCAACAAGCATCTAGATCTTCCTTCGGCCTATAAAGTCCTACGTCACTACATACGCCGTGACGAAGACAAGACGGTCATACGGAGCCTAAGACTACCGAGCAAACACGGCCTGTCGACCAATTCACCCAAAAGGGGAACGCAAACGCATCTAACCCCAATTGAGGTGACGACACACAATACAGGAGGCCACCAACACTCACATGCGACGGCCAGTAGGCCAAGGCAGCGAAAGAAGAAAAAAAATCGATCAGCCCACGGCCAACTAATTCGGCTGTCCATTCAAAATTCTGATCGATTTTTCAGTAGACGCTTTGATAATTGAGAGCCGCCCCAGCTCTTCGAAACGTCAGCCAACCAAGTCTCGCGATCCGGTGAGCACTTCATTTTCCTCAAAACGAACAGTATCCCAGGGCAGGTCCAACGTACAATTTATAAAGCCGCATTCTATTATCGGTAGTTGTTAAAGTTCGGAGGATAAACCCAGTCGTTATGCGTACTCTGGAGACTATCAGGGCGCAGTGCTCTGAAAGGTTGACATTCCTGGAGTATGACGCACCCAGTTCCTTAATAATTCTAGGCACATGTATGTTCTGACCATCAATACTTAGTGGAGGTTGGTGTTCGTCTCCAACCATCATGACGGAGCATTTATGCGAAGAGAAAGAAAGTCGCCATTTGCAGCATTGTTGGGCAAAAGCCTGTAGATTGACTTTAGGAGTACGAGCACGACGTCACGATCTGCTGGCGTATTTTGACATGCAACTTTCAGATCATCGGCATACACGAAGGACTTACCACTCTGAAATAAATCGGGTACACCGTTATCAAAAAGGCAAAATAAAAGCAAGCCGAGTACACTATACTGAATAACTCCACTCTTCACACATGTGGGGTCGGAGATAGCACTGGAAATCTTAACTCGTTGTGTACGAGCGCCCAGGTAAGAGGATGTAAAATTCAAAAGTTTGTCACCTATTCCGAAAGAGGACAGTTTCAAGAGAAGAAGAGCATGGTCAACACAATCACAAGCCTTAGTGACATCGAAACTACTGTTCAAAGTGCAAAATCGTTGTCCCTAGATTGGAGAACATGACCAAAGGAAGAGAGCGGACAGGTGTCACAAAACCGAGCTTTGAGGAATCCGTGGTGTGCAGCGCTCAGCGGGTTATTCTCTGTTATGTGACACATCATCTTTGATCAAAGTTTCTAAGATTTTCTAAACTATGGAGAGGGTGTTTACTGGCCGTAAGTCATTAAATGACGTAGATTGGCCATGCTTGTGAATGGGCAAAAGGTGTGGTTCTTTCCACATATTATGATAAGTTTCACTTTCAAGAGCGAGACTAAATATCCTGCATAAGAGTGATTGGAAAATTACATTTGCACCCACTAACTGGGACACCATCAGTTCAAGGACTATGAGATTGACGACATAGCCGAACCGCTACAGTCACGTCCGACAGAGTAAAAGTTATAGGTTCGAGAACTGTCCCGGTCCATGCCTGGGTAATCGGAGACAGAGCGGTCGAGTTTTTAATAAAAGTTTTGGACAGGAAAACATTGGAACTATCGACGGCCAAGTGGGAATGAGCTATAGGATTCCCGAGAGAGTCTAGAAGGGTGGGTTGCTGCGTATTTTATGAGCTCGTACTTTTCGGGTGAACAGTTTCGAGATATTTAACGGACGGCTCTCGGTGATTTGGGCCTCTGCAGCTAGCCGCCTTTTTCCGGACAATTTCCTAGCCTGCTCAAAAATATTACACATCGAGGGCAGAACGGAAACGTTGTTCTGAAGATGGGGTCGGCGAGAAAGTCTGTGCAGCCTAGGACGAAATGTTAAGGGGAGGAAAACCTCATCCCCGGAATTAATTATTTTCATACGGGGGACAAAACGAGAAATAAGCGAATCCAAAATTTCGTACAGTTTACATCCGATCTTAGGAGAAAAGCACTCCATTCGTGGGAATTAATGCGTATTAATAATCCGGTCAAGCGAGCTGGTCTGTAATCGCGGAAAAAGCCATACTTTGGGGACAAAATTTTCTCAGCCATGAGTTTTATTGTAGAAAGAACTGTGTCATGGTCGGAGCCCTCGGATGGGCCTAGGGATGACACCGACAAAAGCACGCAACCCCTACAGAAAATAAGGTCAAGTACGCTTGATCCCCCGCGGTTGGGTGCCCACGGAACATACGGTCCGGATGCACCTTTCCGGTTCTGCAAAAAAATTTGTGGCATCAAGAAACCCTGACGTGAATAAAGAGGAGAAGGATCTGGGGGAGGAAATTGCCGACAGGGAAACGGATTACTGTTGTTAGCTGGCTGATTTTCTGTTGGGAATCCACGGGCCGGATACTGTAGCGTATTCCTGCCGGAGTAAAACTGAGAAAAGGGGGATTTAACTGACCCGGTATGGATATTAACACGAAGAGTGCATTGGTGAAACGGTCGTGGAGAAAATATGTTGGGGGTGGGAGACCGACTGCTTACGCTGTGGCATGAATTCGATTCAAAGGCGGGAATGACGGCATTGACTGCTTCGATATGAGGTCGAGGGGTAGTTGGAAACACGCTATATTTGGGCCATGGTGCTCGAGGCAATGGCAGACCACTGTGGAGGGAAATATTTCCTAGGGGAACTTTATTTACCCGGTGTTCGAGTGTCTGAAACGGCACTCGGACACACCTTTGAATATGCCATTTGCTTAGGTTTACTAAGGGTTGCCGGGGTGTCCGTAGGGGCGTTTGTATACAAGCCGTGTCGTTGCGTTTAAGGATAGTAGCATCAAGGGTAGTCGAGTACCCTATGGAATTAACTACGCCATGACGTTGTGAGGTCGCAGATGACGTTGAAGAAGACTTGTTCAAAATGAAAACAAGTGTCGTTATGTGTGTGTGTGTGTGTGTGTTGTGCCGCCCAAACGGGCCACGTGTTAGCAGCGCTGGACCAATACGGAGGCCACATCGGATTCTGGCAGGCGTTATCTGTGCGCAATAACAAATGCCAACATTCTCGGGTGCGCTGGCTGGCCGTGGCCGCAGACAAAGCACACACGGTCGAAACAGCCAAAACCGAAACAACAACAACAACAACAATAACTTTCTTCCTCTACCAGCCTATTCTTCTTCTTCTCCTACTCCTCCTAGTTTTCGCCGCCACAATCGCCAGACTGACAGGGTGAGTCCACTCACTCTGGCAGCCTGGAATGTTCGTTCCCTATAAGACAATTCGAGGAGCAACCGACTGAAACGCAGAACAGCGCTAGTGGCACGGGAACTGGCGCGCTACAAAGTGGACATCGTCGCACTCAGCGAGACTCGATTCTCCGAACAAGACCAACTGGAGGAGGTGGGTGCAGGTTACACCTTCTGCTGGAGTGGTCGCCCCAGGGCAGAGAGACGAGACGCGGGTTTCGCCTTCGCCATCCGGAACGACGTCGTGGGACGACTGCCCTGTTTGCCGCAGGGAATCAACGACCGCCTGATGAGCCTCCGTCTGCCCCTCCGGGGTGGGGGCAAGTTTGTCACCATCATCAGCGCCGACGCTCCGCCGATGAGCAGTCCCGACGCCGCCGCAAGAGACAAATTCTACGATGACCTGCACGCCCTCTTGGCGACTGTGTCGAAGGCGGACAAGTTGAATGTCCTTGGTGGCTTCAACGCCCGCGTCGGCAGAGACCATACTGCCTGGAGAGGAGTGCTGGGTCCCCACGGTCTCCACGGCTCCCACGACAATGGTCTGCTGCTGCTCCGCACCTGCGCAGAATACCGCCTTATCCTGACGAACACCTTATTCTGTCTGCCGGAGCGAGAGAAGGCCACCTGGAGGCATCCTCGGTCGCGTCAGTGGCACCCGTTGGACTGTGTCCTCGTCCGGAGGCGAGACCAGCGGGACGTGCTGGTGACAAAGGCTACCGCGGGCGCTTTCGGGTGGACCGACCATCGCCTCGTCACCTCGGAGATGCGTATTCGCCTACAGCCTCACAGGAGACCACAAGGTAAGCGACCCCCTGGTAAGCTGAATACTTTCTTGTTGTCTTTGCCCGCTCACCATCTTCATTTCAGCAGTTAGCTAGCTCAACGGCTTGACAGCCTTCCTATCGTTGCCGCCGCCGACGACGCCGCCGCTGCCGAGAACGCCTCCGTGGAGAACCGCTGGTGTCAACTGCGGGCCACGGCCCAGTCGACGGCGCTAGCTGTCCTTGGTCGCGCACGCCGACAACACCAGGACTACTTCGACGACAACGACGTCGCCATCAGCAATCTGCTCGCCTAGAAGAACCGGCTACACAAAGCCTACGTAGACCATCCCACTAACGAGAACAAAGCTGCTTTCTACCGCAGTCGCCGCCTCGTTCAACAGCGACTACGCGAGATGCAGGACGCCTGGACTGCTCGCAAAGCTGAGGATATCCAAGGCTATCCAGACCGCAATTAGTAGAAGAACTTCTTCTCAGCGATCAAAGCTGCCTACGGTCCGCCGACGAAAGGCACCGCTCCTCTCCTTAGTGCCAATGGCAGTACCCTCCTGACCGAGAAGAAACAAATTCTACAGCGATGGGCCGAGCATTTCCGAGGCGTCCTCAACCGCCCTACCACCATCTCCGACACCGTCAAAGCCCGCTTGCCGCAAGTGGCAACCAACGTGGATCTCGACCTCCCGCCATCTCTCCAGGAAACCATCGGGGCCGTGCAGCAACTCTCCAACATGAAGGCATTCGGATCGGACGCAATCCCTGCTCAGGTCTACAAGCACGGAGGTCCCCAACTGATGGATCACCTGACTGCGCTCTTCCAGGAGATGTGACGTCAAGGTGAAGTCCCACAAGGTTTCAAAGACGCAACCATCGCGCATCATTGCATGCAAAAAGGGAACCGCCAAGTCTGCGACAATCTCCGCGGAATCCCCCTGCTAAACATCGCGGGGAAGATGTTCGCTCGCATTCTCCTCAACCGTCTCATTAAACATCTATAAGAGGGCCTTCTACCGGAAAGCCAATGCGGCTTCCGTTGTCATCGTGGGACCACGGATATGATCTTCGCCACCCGTCAACTTCAGGAGAAAGGGCAGGAGATGCGGACTCACCTATACTCTACATTTGTGGACCTGACGAAAGCCTTCGACACGGTGAATCGTGAGGGACTGTGGAAGATCATGCAGAAATTCGGCTGTCCGGAGCGATTCATCCAGATGGCGGCCAGCTGCCCGACGGTATGATGGCGCCAGTCACGGACAACGGAGCTGTCTCAGAGGCATTCGCAGTGAAGCAGGGATGCGTGCTGATGTCCATCCTCTTCAGTCTTATGTTCTCTGCCATGCTGATGGACGCCTACCGCGACAAACGCCCCGGGATCCGCATCGCCTACAGGACGGACGCTCACCTTCAGGACCAACGACTGATGCACTTCGAATCGCGTGTATCCACAACCACTGTTCACGAACTTCTTTTCGCCGACAACTGTGCCTGATCACCACCTCGGAAGAGGAGATGCAACGGAGCAGGAAACTGTTCTTCGCCGCCTGCGAGAACTTCGGAATGGTCATTAACACTCAGAACACGGTGGTCATGCATCAACCGCCACCCAACACAGCCACAATCCCCAACGCGCCGCAACTCAGCGTGAACGGAACCCAACTGCAAGTGGTGGAGAAATTCCCGTACCTGGGCAGTACCCTCTCCCGCAACATCAAGATCGATGACGAAGTCGCCAACAGGATCTCGAAAGCCTATCAAGCCTTCGGCCGCCTCCAAAGCACAGTTTGGAATCGTCACGGTCTTCAACTGAGCACGAAGCTGAAGATGCACAAGGTTGTCATCCTGCCGACGCTGCTGTACGGAGAGGAGACTTGGACGGTGTACACAAAGCAGACACGCCGTCTGAACCTCTTCCACCTCAGTTGTCTTCGTCACATCCTGAGGCTGAACTGGCAGGATCGAATCTCCGACACTGATGTGCTGGAACGGATGGGAATCCTCAGCATCTACACCATGCTGAGACAAATGCAGTTGTGTTGGAGTGGCCACCTGGTGCGCATGGACGACGAGGGACTACCCAAACGACTCTTCTACGGAGACGTTGAGACGGGCTCTCGCCGCCAAGGCGGCCAAATTCGTAGATACAAAGATACGCTGAAGTCCTCCCTGAAGCGCCTTCAAATCAACACGGCCAACTGGGACGAGCTCGCACTCGACCGACCGACCTGGACGAGGACTGTGAAGACAGGCGTTGCGATCTACGAAGCCAACCGAATCGCCGCCGCCAAAATGAAACGCAAAGCACGCAAATCACAGCTACACCCAGTCCGCAACGCCAACACACAACCGATTCCAACGTATCCTCGATGCCAACGGACATTCTGGGGGCGAATTAGACTTATTTCACAGCTTCGGATCAACTGCACCTCCCGGACCGCACCAGCCGTCGTCCCTCCGCCCGCCTCTTCCCCATCCTCTCCGTCGTCAACTAACTCTGACTCTTCTTCCGAACCACCACTTCCATCC